CTTTGGACGGGATCAAACGTTCAAGTTGCCTAATACACCTCAATGCCCATTTGGGCCGGTGACCACTGCTGCGACCAGGAAGGTGTGCGTGTGGTCCGTACGCCTCTTCTTGGTTGGCTTGAATCAGGGATTTTAGCCAACTCCCCTAGGTGAACTATCAGTGGTTCACGGACCCAGTTATAGCTTTCGTCCTCTCACTTTAGTGGAAAAACACCTCCGTCACGGGAAGGCAGTGAGTAGGGCTTCCTCAGCAGAGGCTATTTGAGACGCTCGGTCATATATGAGCATTTCGTGAGGTGATAGGGAATGGTTCCCAGTCACAACCCCAGACACCCACCCCGACCATACTGAGGCTATTGGAGGTAACTACCCTATAGCATATCCCAGTGAAGAGATCTACGTAGAAGCATTTCCATCATGTGTAAGAGCTCAGATCCTTATGTCCGATGCGTTAGAGCTTCTCTAATCCTTAATAAGTTAGCTCTACGTCCAAGTAGCTATATTTTGCGAACCACCTTTTGCTAACTAACTGCAGCAAAGTACATCATTCCCAACGGGCCGAAAATACGCGAAGCAATTTGTCATTTCAATAGGTTTCTGACTGTTAAAAATTAAGCAGATTTAGTATGAGACGAAGTTGCAACCGTTAACTTGGAATGAGTTATATAAAAGATAAAAACTAACTGACTGTTTGCCACTTTCTAACTGGATTTTCCCTGAAACTCACTGATGAAGCTACCGCTAGTGTGCACTGGTGTTCCTCTTCCCGTTATGCAATAGAGTATGCATGATCTTCTTGAGGTAATTGAAATGCAGACAGTCAAGGTGTTCGCAGCTTCGTCCCGACATGCCCAGCGAGAGAGAGAGACTAGAGTAGCTCAATAACCAACAAAGTGAGTGGACGGAAGGCCCCTTATCGAGCAGACTGTTCAATCAACGTATCTTCTATGGATTCTGTACGCTCGAGAAGGCAAAGGAACCAATAGGCGAAACACAGTGTGATCCTAACAACAGATTATAATGAAAATCTGAGCCCAGAAGTATAGTGCTCGCGATCAGCTGTTTACAATGAAATTGACCAACCAAAAACCCGTACAGTCCATAGTGAATCAGTGCAGTTCTCTTTCAATACGGTTCCAAATCATTCTCTTCAATCTACCTGGAGCTGTCGAACACAGTTGAAACAAGAATTGTCTGGGTGGACATACGCCGTATTTTACTCAGTTCCTTTGATTTTTCTTTGACGTACAGCAAAAGCTAGATATTTAGGCAATTTGTTTGTTTTATTGAAAACAACGATTGTTTCCGCAGCAGCCTTTTTCCGTCTGATGATGGAAGTGAAAATACAGTGAAGTGCCGTTGCAAACTAAACGGTAGCTGATCTGGAACGCACTGTGCGCCATCAGCACTGCTAGCATTCGTTGTGGTCTTCCCTTCCCATTCATTGACTACAAATTTCTACCGTCTGTAGGAAAACTTGTTTTCCTTTGATGAATTTCCGCGTAGCCGTTTGTCGTAAACACTTATCCAACTTACATTGTCGTGATTCTATTTGTGAGGCTGTTTATTCCGTACACTTTTAATTTGCTGGACCATTTAAGAACAATTAAAACTCCAGACGTGATCGCTAACTTCCTCTTTCGTGTGATATTTACATGTACTACTACGTTGTACTTGATTTCGTGATTTGTGTTCTATATCGCCACCGTAACTCACACGCAAAGATCATGTCGTTGATGTTCCCGAACAGTCTAATGTCATTGGTTTTTTGGCGAATAGAATAAAAAAGACAAGTACATTTCGAACCGTCCGTGACAGGCTCTGTTCAATAAGAGGCCTTCCTCCTTGGCTAGCATAGGCTTCAATTTTTCTGACCTCGTTCCTTTAGTCGCCTCGCGTCCGTCGACGCGGCACACAATGGATTCGCTCACTCGCCGCCGTCGATGAATCAGAAATTGTCCGCACGACAGAGTGACACATTGTGTGTGCACGTTGGGGTTGACCTGCTCCTCTCGTGTCCGGCGGTACGCGACCAGAACAGTCAGAAGCAAAGGTTACAGAGTCGCAGTCCTCCAATTGGTCCTGTTGAAACAACAATTTGACCAATCAGAGACAAGAACAGAGTCTTGTGCTAGCCAGCCAGCCACCCACCCATGAACACCACCTGCAACATCATGAGGGCTTCGCTTGCCCCACCCTCTCTCTCTGTCCAGGTGTTTGGTGCTGGGTGTAACGGCTGCACCGAGTCTTGTGACAAGTAGACGAAGCCTGCCGATTGTGTTTCTAATAATCTACGTATGTCTTACTGATCGCACAATCATCGTCAAGTTAATTATTTCGTTGTTCCCATATCTCCTCTCAATTTCGTCCTTGCCTATCAGCTTGAGGATCCTCACATTGCGCCCTCAAATCCACATACAAAAAGATCACAGCGGCGTGAGAGCACGGCTTTCCATGTTCAAATTTGTTTTCCATCTAATCCTACTGTCGAGCATCACGAGGTCGGGACAATCACAATATCGTGATCAGCATTGGCGAATTCAAGAACGTACGGTCGAATTCAATCTGGATGAGAACTCGCCAATCGGAACGGAACTGGGTTCAGTGGCTGCCCCCGTGAACGGACCGAAATCAATCAGCCATCCAGCAGGTGCTCTGACCACAGTGTCCGAACTGCACTACAAACTAGGTGCACCATCCAACCTGTTTGCAGTCAATGAACAAACCGGAGTACTAAGTACTCGATCCACGATTGATGCCGAATTACTTTGTTTGAAAGCTCGTGAACAAGATGTGGCCGAAGAATATCCTGGTAAGTCATAAAAGCGGGGTTCGTGTCGTGCAGAGACCAACTAAATGTTCTAACGACTTAGATAACAACTAGAATGGGTACACAAATATAGTAATCTCATTCGGATAAACGCTGTGCTTGACAGACTGTAATATTGTCTTATTTGGTGGTCATTGTAAACTCGTTTCCCTCCTTTCTGATGTCCCCCTACTCATAGACTATGTATTACTTTTGTCCGCATAGATTAGCACAATAATCACACACGCGTTTGATCTTCAGTTTTGTCAGATAAAAAAGGATCAAATATATCTCAAAAAGCAAACAAGCCCGGTAATGGAGTCACCACTTAAAATAACAACCACCGGTGTCAGTAAGTCTATTTCTTTATTCCCGTCGGCGTATTCGTGCATTAGCTGGAGAGTGCACTCCTAAACAACTTAGCATTTATTGGTCAAGATTCGTCCGAATCTACACTCCTTCTCCAAGTGATTAATAACTATTCTCATGAAACTTTCTGTTTTCCAATAGACCACATAGAAACTTAACTGTGCATTGTTTGTGGTGATTTCATCACCGTCGATAGCAAGTTCCTTGCAACCATAGCTAAGCTTTCCGCTGTTTGTTTTCATACTGAACTACATACTTTTCAATTAACCTCTACCGCACACACACACACACACACATAAACTTAAGACATGCTATCGTAAAGATTTTTCCCGTCAATTAAGGTCGGACCACGCAAAAACAGTTGACACAAACGTAATCGTAAGCGGCGAACGTGACAACGCTCACTTAGTACTCTGTAAGATTATTGCCAACTTAGCATCTTTTCACAACGTAACCTACAGGTTTTCTGCGATGACTTGATCTGCTGTTGTCCACGGCAAATTTCCCGATCATTTCTCTCTGACATCCCCTAAAACTGTCAATGGAAGAAGGAACGTGCCCACAAAGTGAGAAACAGTTGTAAGTGTAAGGAGATCTCGAAAACCATGAAGGCGGACATGCAAACAATGTAGGCTCATTTACTTCTTCCCTGAACTAATGACCGTGACGCATGGAAGCCATATGGAAAAATCAATGGCCGTAAGTCGAAAGTCTGGGTGCCTAACGTAGACGCCTGAACTCTCAAACTTAATTGCTCCAGTTCGAATCCCCCAGATCCTGTACTTTATCCTATTAACAGGTCGTCCGAGTTGGCCGCCCATCAAATTGTTATATGGGAGATACACAACGAGTTAACTCATCTAATCCCCAGCACATCGTTTAGTTGCGGTAGTTCTGATAGAACCAAGTGTAATTTAGGAAGGTGCACAATCTTTTTCATCAGTTTCATCGGAATTTAGTTTAGCAAGAACTGCATGCCCAAATACTGAAGAGTCACCCTCAGCACATCTCAATTTCGCCCGATGGAGTGTTTCTCAGCTCCTCTAAAAGTCGTTAAAAACTGTTCAGACGGGTAATGTTTGAATTAGCCCATTCGGTTTTTTACAGGCATCAGGCACTGTTAATGGTCTTGGGTGTTGGTTTCACACCTTGGGAGATCGTTAATTCCCTGCCAGTGAAATACATTGAAGTGCTTGGTGCCTGTGAAAATGTGAATGGGCTAATCCAAGCTTGTTGCTCTAAAATTGATTAAGCCATTCGCACAAAGGTTATAACCATCGACCGTGTAGCTCAGGAGTAAGGGTTTGAAGTCCCAATCCGAAGGTTCGCGGTTCGAGTACTGATAGGGACACAAAATGTACGCACTGCTGACGAGTCCCAAACAGGACGAAACAGTTGTCCAGTGCCCTTTGTCAGTTACCAAAAACATTTTCACCTCATTGAAAGCTGCTTGTAAATAGAATCTCTCCTCAGCTCCACACTGATAAC